GGCTTCCACAAATGTTGCACACTCTGTGGTGACCCTATTTTTATAGGATTAAGCTTAAGTTTATGAAAATTTCTGTTTGTTGGAAGATGTAATTACACACTAATTAATGTATATTTATGTATTCAATATTAAGTTTTTGTATTAAATAACCTTAAAAAAAATGACTGCCTGCACATTTAACAAACCAACCCTTCTGGAGGAATGCTACTGTCCACCTGTTTCTTGTGAATAGCTGTTTCAGGAAGACCCCCACCCCCTCATAAACCTCTACCAGAAGAGTTCACCCTTTTATCAAAGTATATTGAGATTCATTTCAAACATGCTTTCAACCTGTGGTTATGCATTTTATTTTGTTAGTAGATTCTTACTGTTCTTGTTTTTGACCCAGCAGTTTTTGCTGTTGTATGAAGAATGTGGTTCATTATTGACATGAACATGAATATTAGTGCTTTATTACTAGATAACCAACAGAACTTTACACTACCACTGATTTTTGAGGTTGCATCTTCATGCTAATTTGCCCCCTTTAGAAAGTTAAAATGTTAATTGATTCAACTCAGCTCTTTCACATGCAAAAACAAAATAAATATCATGCAAAAGAAAAAAAAAACAACAACAACAAAAGTGTGACTCAAGTATGATTCAAAAGTATTTTTAGTATTAATACTAAATATAGTTAAGATCTTAACTTAATTATCATTAGCATTATTAATATGTTAATTGTGTCATAAATCATGACACGCTCCCTCTGCAAGTGTATCTAGAAAGTTCTTTGACTCTTTGCTAAAGATTGAATAAATGTTAACTGTAAAAATTAAGGTTTTATATTTTTTTAAGACCAGGCTTTTTATTTTGTCCTGTGCTCTCAATTTTATGTAACGTAATAAAGCTTGAAATTAAATTACGGACTTCAGAGAAAATGCAGTCATGTAATAAAAAATGTTGAAAATTAGAATTCATAACAGGTATGAAAATTGGTAGCACACCCATGTTTCTTCACCCCAACCAATACATTAAATAATACAATACATTAAATATATATATATGGTTAGACTACATGTCTTTGGAGTGGAGGATCGCAAGTTCAATTCCCGCCTGGGAATCCAGTAAGGGTCCCAAGGCTAGACCCCCCATGCTAAGCGAGCCTACTGCAGACATGATAGATGAATATGAAGGCATGCTGGCTCGGACGTCGCCCGGCTCAATAAGGTCCGCGTCAGGTGATGAGGAACCACGGCACCCTGACAAGAAATGGGCTACTGGAACAATAAGCAATCCGTGAGCAAGAGACAAAACAGGGCGTTTTTGGCATGCTACTACACAAGTAACCCTGGCAGAAGGGGTTACATGAATAGGATGAGGGACCTATGGATTCTTCGATACCCAACATCCATGACGACGAAACAACTAGTAGCTCAGTGTTCCAACATTCGAAAGAAGGGACTGCTCTCACAGCTAGAGATTGATGAGGTACAACATAAATGCCACGGCAAGGGGGAGCCACGACACCAGGTCAGGGGGGAGATATCAGCACCCCCACCTGAGATTGGGTACAAAGCCAAGTGCGATAGGAGAAGGATCGTTGAGTGTGAGAGGAACTGACCTGAAAGATGAGATCAAACCTGGACCCCCCATAGGCGGTTACCCAGACTACATGAAGTACCCTCAGAAGGTCTGCTAGATGATGTTACGAATGATACCTAAAGCCATCATTACCAAGACTAACAAGCTGATTTACAATATGGCAGCAGTGACAAGTGAGATGCATGGCTACAAGGGGGCAGTACCCTCCATGGAGAAGGAGGCTAGAGGTTAAGATCAAGGTAGCACTGAGGGAGGTTAGCCAACTATCAAAGCTGCAGAAAGGTGGGACAAGGTGTCCCGTTTGGTTCTTTTGCAGAATTATTGTCTAAAGGCAAAGAAAGATGCCCAACGGATTTACTTTACCAAATGGACCATCCCAGCCTTACCATAATGGTCTATTTGATTCACCTTTGCTTTTATTGTTTATTTTATTGTATTTTATTTTCACTCGCTACACACGGGACAGACATGACTGGGGGAACAAAAAGGGTGAAAAGGTGTGAAAGAAAGAGAAATACAAAAACCAACAAAACAAACAGAGAAAAAATAAGAATCACCTGGATCACCTGCTGAGAAAGAAAAAAGAGAAAACAAGCAAAAAAAAAGAGCAATATAATAAACAACATCATTGCGATGATCTTTGTGAATATAACAGTATTATATTGAATATTGTTGTGCAGCACGTAGGATCGACAGCGCACAGTGTGCTTTGAGGTAGGAGCCAAAAAGGGTGTAGTTTGTGTGTGTGAGCACCCGTGAGTACACCTGTGAGCATGATTCATTAGTATAATATGAAATAAATTCTACATGTGTCAAGTTGTGTGCCAATATTTGCTGTGTAGTAGAACTGAGACATTAGTCATTGCAAAAATTTATTTGAAATAATATTTAAATTCTTGGTAGAGAAAGCAGCTGGTGTCCTACAGCTCCAGGTGGTTTGCTACGGCGTTGATTAGCCTTTCCTCCATATTGAATGAAGAATGAAGGGCTTTGGCTGGATCTGCCCCTTTGACCTAGGTAAGAGCATCACGTCACCAGGCTCCTAAATGGTTGTCGCAGCGTGACTTGACGCTGGAGTTCCTATTTTTCCAACTTGAGCGGTAAACGCAATACGGTCAAATGCACAAAATGCAACACACAAACAGCCGCGCGTATTTTTATTCGCGCGAGCAAGTAGCGCAACTGACGCGTTTTTGCATCGCAAATCTGCTTCTGAATTTTCGCGGGATGTTCTAGAGGGTGAATCAGGAGCCCGGGAGATAATAGAAAGAACGACAACCGCCCACCGAATGGCCAGGCACTCAACAAAGATTCACGCTCTGACAGTTTCCTGCTGATATAGACCGCAGGGTAGTGACTCCCTTTACCTGCGGGACAAAATGGCCTCCAGCCCTCTGTTCAAGGCGTCAATAGGCAGAATAAAAGGGAGGGAGAAATAGGACTGTGAAGCAGGTGTTCCCCACAGAGAGCCTACTTCACCTGCACGAATGCCACCTGGCACTGCTACCTTGACCTGGGGCACCCTTCCAGCTGAGATCAGTCAAGGGGCTGATCAGGTTTTTCAAAGAACCGTCTCAACACTTTTTTATGCTCTCTCTTTCTAGTCCCTGTCAGGACTCTTGCTGCAGCATTTTGGATTAACTGAAGTTTTTTCAGGGAGTTTTTTGGACATCCTGATAATAATGAATTACAATCGTCCAG